ATGGAACAAATGGCTCCCTATGGGGTAAGCTACACCAGTAGTGGGTCGCAGTGATCAGTCTTTCATTATTACACAATGCTCTAGTCATTTAATAGGACTGACTGCTACAAAATGCTGCTTTGTGCTACGTATGTAGCTTACCCCCATAGGGAGCCATTTGTTCCATCTGTCTACTCCATTCATGCCACTACTAGCAATTCATCACTGGTGAATATCCTAACCAGCGCTTTCCTAATGAGACAGCTGCCGGCAAATGGGCACATTCCTGTGAAGTTTAATGAAGAACTCCAGGCAATCAAAAAATGAACCCTTGCAGTGGGGTTACCCAGGGCCGGATTTCCCACAAGGCCAACCAAGGCCTGGCCTCAGGGTAGCAGGAAGTAGAGGGGCAGCAGGGGTGTGGAATGCCTATCTCCTGACACCCGGGACCTGTAGTTCCGGGCACCGGGCGGGTAGTTGTTTTCTACATTTAGCTCTGCTTTGGGAAAGCTGCCGCTTGTTTTGTACTAGTGATCTCTGCGATGTCACCGAGATATATTGTATGCAGCCTGCCGTTCTCCATATTATTATACAGGATTTATATAGCACCAACAATTTGCTCAGCACTTTACAAAATGGAGGAGACAGTACAGTTACAATACAGTTTCAGAACAATAGGGTTGGGAGGGCCATGCACGTGAGAGCTTACAATCTAGTATGATGGGGAAGTGATACAAAAGGTAATAATTGTTTAGAGTGAGTTATTGGAAGAAGTAAAAGGCAGTTATGTTGAGACGAGATAGGCTTCCCTGAAGAGATGGTTTTTTTAGGGATCGCCTGAAGGTGGGCAGCGTAGGAGATTGGGACTCCTTACCCCATTCTGTCTGCCTGAGGATGGGACCTTCTGGAGACATCCTGGAGGCGAGTGTGGGAGGAGGTAATGAGAGAGCTAGAGAGCAGGAGGTCTTGAGAGGAGCGGAGAGGACGGTTTGGGTGATATTTTGAGATGAGATCAGTGATGTAGGTTGGGACGGAGTTGTAGGTGGCTTTGTATGTTGTTGTTAGTATTCTGAATTTTATTTGTTGGGCAATTGGGAGCCAGTGGAGGGATTGGCAGACAGGACAGCATTGACCCTCCCTGCCACCCCAAGGCCGGGTTCAGCAATGCACACCCCCCACCGCTGAGGAGAATGCCAACCAGATAGCGGGGGTGGCAGGGTTGGTTTTAATTTTTTTATGGGTTTATTTTTTGTTTCTTTCTTTTTTTAACTTTTTTTATAGTTATTCACCTTAATTTTGTCTATCTGTTTGTGGACCATATCAATAGTCAGCCATTGTGGTTCGGTAAAGGCACTGCTATCCCCATTATGGACTTGAGTTATATCATGTTCCTTGGTGTGCACAGAGCTGAAGAAAGTATTTAATAGATTTGCTTTCTCATTGTCCCCAGTTTTATCATTATAATATACATTGTATACACAGAAGAGCGCAGACGTCTCATATACAATGTATATTTCTGTGATATTGGGGGGTATAGTTTCCACTTTGTTCTCCGCATTTTGTATCGGTGTATCTCTACATCCCATGTTCATCGCTCTACACAAGAAGAGTCATAGAAATCCTTTTCATATATTCTCGGCATATTTACTATGAATACAGGACAGCGAGGGCAAGGCTGACTCTTCCACCCGCTTTCTGAATTCCGTTTGCAAAGAAAAACAGCGTCCTTCCAAAAGCGATTTACAATGGCCCGCATCCTGCCCATAACCCGCCGACAGATTCGTACTTCGCCGTTTACGTCAGAAGTCCGTTTTACTGTTATAGCAAATCGCACCGATTCATCCTTCAAAACAAAAAAAATTACTTTATATGCTCGCTTTTATGTTTTTCATTAATTTTTATCCTGAATAGCGCCTGTCCTCCAAACACTCGGTTTCCTTCTGAATAGCAATGATCCGCCTATTTTATCCTTTAATTCTTCATCTAAAAGGGGAATAAATATTGGTGGCGTTTGCATAAAGCCATTGTGTGTAAATGACTGCTGTTTGTGAACACATAGGAGGGAGTTGGGATCCACCGCGGACATTTCTTTTTATGATCAGCCTAAAAGTCACTGAGTAAATATCCGGCAAAACACATAAATCAGCTGTTTTGTTCCTGCGCTCCAACAAAACCTGCTAAGGAAGTACAAAGCGTGGCATTAAGATCCAAAACGCGTACAGTTTTTAAAGGAACAGAACACAGCAGTATTGTGGGCTGTGGGTCCATGCACACAGCTGCGATGGGGTAGGTTTTCCGCCATATTGTTGAGTTACGCAAGCCAAATATAAAAATAAAAAATATGCACCTGCGATCCAGTTATTTTTGAAGTATGTCAGGCGGTGTGCATGTCCACGTTCCTGTGAATACGTGCAGAAACAAAGTGAATAATTCAGAATGACTGAAGGTTGACGTTATTCTATGCCGCAGGCCCTGGGCCCAGTCATTGTTGTTGGGCCCAAAGCAGCTGCCCCTTTAGCCCGCAAAAGATACACATGCGATATTGTTCTGTTTACTGTGTGATCGGCTTCACATAGTGTTGTTCCGCCCCTGCCGTACACCGCATAGCGTTACCACGTGATGTCTCACACCGGGTCACGTCTCCCTCTGATGTCTCCTCTTATCGGCTCTGCATTGCATGGTGGGTGTGGGTCGGGGCTGCCCAACAAAACGTTTGCCCAGGGTCCAATCAATATTAAAGATGGCCCTGCCGCCACCTACATGTTGTTGATGTCCATAGCTCCACCCTGACCCTGAATGAGTCATTTGGTAGGCAGCGGCAGCAGAGGAGGAACAGAAAGATGTCAGCCTTCCATCACTCAGAATGAATGACATTGTAAGCACCTCAACTCTATATGGACACGTGTATGGATACAGAGAGCAAGGGGAGTCTGCCGGGGGGAAATTATATATAGAAATGTCGTCTAGAGTTCTGTCAGGGCTACATATGGTCTCCAGGGGGGCTGGGGGGAGTTATATAGAGAGGTCTTCTAGAGTTCAGCCAGTTCTTCATATGATCTTGGGGAGAACTGCCAGGGGAAAGTTATATAGAGAGGTCTTCTAGAGTCCCATTAGTGCTCCATATGGTTTCCAAGGGGAAGGGGGACTGGGGGGGGTTATATAGACTTCCATCAGGGCTGCATATGATCTCGGGGGGAACTGCCAGGGGAAATCGATATTGCAGGTAAGTAGCTTCCCAGCCAGGTTTGCCACAAAAAGGCTCCGCTGTGTTTTGAACTGAATTTATTGCGGAAAGCAGACAGGAGCGTAATGAAACAATATTTAAGTAATATTCTGGCGCTTGTAACATTTCATTTTTTATTACTGATAATGTTTAATTAATCTGTACAATCCCCGAGGAGGGCAATCTATTTTTAATGAAAGTTACGGTGGAAAATACAGCAGCAATTGTACTGGTTCGGGAGCACGACAGAGACGCACAAATGGTTCTTGGTAGGACATATGTAGAGTAAGGTAGCTAATTGGTGAGGTGACAGAGACCTGTAGGTTATATTCACTTGGTGGCTGGAGGCTGAAGAACATCTACAGTTTTGTTAGTGTTCCATGTGGTCTTAAAGGAGAAGGGAAGACTGCTGGGGGAAGTTATATAGAGAAGTCTTTTAGAGTTCCATCAGTGCTCCACATGGTGGTAGAGAAGGGGTGACTTAAAGTTATAAATAGAGAGGTCTTCTAGAATTTGGTTAGTATGGCCAGAGGCGAAGGGGAGACTGTTGTGGGAATTACATATTTGGAGATCTTCTAGCGTTCAGTTGGGGCTACATGTGGTCTCAAGGGGGAATGGGGGAAGTTATATAGAGAGGTCTTCTAGAGTTCCATCAGTGCTACATATGATCTTAGGGTGGTGGGGGGGAACTGCCAGGGGAAGTTATATAGAGAGGTGTTCTAGAGTTCCATTAGTCCTACATGTGATCACAGGGTGGTGTGGGGAACTGCCAGGGGAAATGATGTAGAGCGGTCTGAGTCCTCTCAGTGCTCCATAAGGTCTCAGAGGGGAAGTTGTATATGCTCTGATCCTGAGTAATATTCAGAATTTTTAACCGAACACTTTCAGGAGTTTCAGTCTCCTGCATCTGCCCCCATCCCCTTCCAGTTCTCACTGGTTCCTCTTGCACCTCCATATAACTACTGTATCCTGTATTAACACCCACATGTGATGCAGAACCTCCATGATTGAAAGAACTGAAATCCAATAAATGAAAGCGGTGAGCGAAGGACAGTCAGGCTGGGGAAGGAAAATGCTAGATAGATTATCCTGGACGTCCTCCAGCCAGGAAATAAGGTGGGCTCTATCTGACTTGCTGCAGCTTCTAATACACATTGTGAGAAGCTCACAGTGTGCACTGAAATCAGAGGAAGCCATTTTAGTTCAGGAGAGGAGCCTGAACTAAAATGGCTTTGGGGGGATGAAAACTCAGTGTTGCTCATTCTTAGTTACCTTGTTTTTTATGGGTTGATTTTATGTGTTGTAAAGTGACTCCACATTATAGGAGGTTTTGTTGTCACTGATAAATCGAAGAATTCTAGAATTCTTTGAAAGTAGTTTTCATGACATTCGAGTTGCAACATTATCAAGGTTACATTAAAGAAAAAAAAGTGATCAATGAGTTCCATTAAGTTTCCCATCTTGTCTGTATATTTTCTCCACCGTCTGTCTGCACCTTTTAAAGACATCTGAAGCGTCAAACCTGCCAGAATTTCTCCCGCGATGCCATTACCTCCCGTTTATTTTGTGTCCCGCCATCTCCAGTTGAAGTTTGCCGCTGTCCCTTGTGATTTGGAAAGTCATTTATCGCTGATTGCCGCCCTCCTGAACCCGGCGCCGCACGCCGCGCTGTTTTCGCCTTCCAGAAATCTATTTACATACTCAGCTCAAATAGTTTTATAAGATCTGTTGACAGACAACTCTTTTTTTCTTAATCCCGTCAACTAACTCACCGTCTCTTCTTTTTTTTATATTTCAGAGAATCGCCTACCTGCTCTGGAAAGGTCGCGTTCGAGGCATTACGGCAGACCGCTTGCTACATGAGCCGCGGAGCGCCGACAAAGAATTTGGCACTGCGCCCATTACTGCCGTACAAAAGGAACATCAGCGATTGGGGCAAAGCACCACCGGAAAAGAAAAAAAAACTGGCAAGAGAGAAGAGACGACTTTTCGTTTCTTTGAAAACTCAAGGGACGCTGTGTCTTGCGCTCGTGTCAAATGAAACGAGTTAAAGGAAAAAAAAACCTCTTGTAAACAGTGTTAGAGATTGTCATTATATAAGACGAAGAGCAGAACTTTCCCCTGAGGAACTACAAGCCCCAGCCTGCTTGTCTACTGTGGTTTGTGGCTCCTCAGGGGCTTATTGCTGCCGGTTCCAGTGCCTGGTTTAAAGGGGAACTCCATTAAGGATATGGCTGGTACACTTAGGCTATTGTAGCAGCGCCTAGTCATGTTTGCTAAGAAGTGTGATAGCATGTCTTTGTGAATACAGTTGGTGGACAAAATAAAGTAAACACCACATGATAAAAGAAGTATAAGAGTGTTAAAGTAACTGGCAGCCTTAATCCATAAAGAGTGCCTATTCTTTAGGCAAAACCTCCCATGCCAAACAGAAGGTTCCCTTTTTTTTGTGCAAGTATCCTGCCCCCTCCCAACCAACTTCTCTCCAACCAATGCAAGGGGCTCTTATGCTTCCGGTTGGCACAGGTGATCTCACCCTGGCTCCCAGCAGAGCTAGGTGCTCAAAACCATGAGACTCTCCATATCCAATTTTCAAGACCGTAGCCTTGAAATAAGCTGGGGAGCATTCTCGCATGATTTTGAGCTTCCACCTGTGTATGGTGATGTCACCCTTGCCACCCAGAAGTGTCAGAGGCCAGTGCTGATGTAAGTCATTTTTGCTGGGGAAGGTATACTTATCAATTGTTCTTCTGTTGGAACAAATCCCTCTATCGTCCTCCTCGGAAAACAAAAAACAGCTAACATAGTTCCAAAGAAACCAAAATAGTGCTCAAAACAAAGGTACAAAATTATGGAGTGCATCAGGAGGGACCATCTCAAAAATGGCTTATGTCAAACAACACTGGCAAAGGTGAACATTGGTTGCAACTTAAAACCCTTTATAAGAGAGATGGAAAACCTCCAGAATTGCTGCAGAATGTAATCACTACTCTGTGGTACCACATGGTCTAAAAAGGTCTTCAAAGAAGAGGCCCTGGATATTAATATAGCTTTAGGTGTTTCCATTATTTTGTCCAACCACCTTCTCCATGTAGGAAGCTACTGCAGCCAACACATCCAAAAACTGTATGCAACCTTATTACAGAACCTCATCACCATTCCCTGGAGTTCTCCTTTCCATACTAAAATTGCCTAAGTGAATGAATGTAGCTGAGAATTTATGCATAAAGATATATTCATTTAAAAAAATGGAGGCACTGTTACTTGTAAGCGGCAGTGGAAACTTGCTTATGCCATGTTCTCGTCTACGCAGATGTTGCACACGTCAGAGGGCCTCTTGCCTCGGTCACACTAGTGTTTTTATTGTGCAGATAAGTGCTACTTAAGATTTTTACTGTTTTATTTAATGTCCCATCGTAGTTGTAGAAATAGGCCTTTAACCTAACACGCTAACCATGACACCCTTGCTGATTATTAGGTATAAGAGATGAGGTATGCCAGTCATACTCATAGTGGCCAAATGTTGGCCTGCTGTTCTCCTGTTCAGCAATAATGAACCGAAGGATTGCATTGGTTGCTACAAACAATGAGAACATTAGATACTAATTGGTCAGAGCTGTTTTCAGATGAATGGTGGTGAGGCACCGGATCGTTTTGGTATTAAAGTCCTGTATCGTCAAAGACAAATTCTGTTTATAGCTCTTACCAACTTTGGTTAGGCTGTTCTCGTCAGACACGACCCCCCCTGGTAGGATGCAAACCTTGAAGATGCAATAGGAGCACCACATCCAAGGATCACAGAGAGTCTTACATAGATTGTAATTAATTCATATCAGGATAAGATAAAATGTATATAATTTTATCTTATCCTAATAGTAAACAATTAAAAACTATCTTGGACTCATGCTGTCATCATTGTTGTGGCATTTTTTTTATTACATCGTCAGTGTTTGGAGGCACTTCATAATGAAGGAAGACATTCTTGTTGCTCATGTTGACTAAATTATCCATTTATTTCCTGTGTAGCACAGGAACAAATTGCTTGTAGTAACAAGGACTGCTCTTCTGTTCTTTAATAAATACCTCAAAGAAAGAAAAACATTCTTATTCGATGAACTCTACATTCAACTGGAAAGGATCAAACAAAAAAACCCTTTCATCAAATTTAAAGTCGATTGGAATGGATCAAGCTTAAAAAAGACAAAATGCTTAATACTATGTATACTTTGAAACACCATAGAAAGTAAAGGGAAATGTTGTAAAAAAGCTCAAATCATCAGAGAGTGGCTGAACAGAACTCCATATGTGGGTTGATTTTTTCTTCTTAGAGATGATCAGAATATGGAACGATCAAATGGATTGAATGAGCAGATTGTTGTGACAGCGACCAATGCGAGTTCTCCGTTTTTTTATTGCTTCTGAAAGGGAGAATCAGTTGCCTATGGCCATAGAGAACATTCTTCTGTCAGACACTTTGATAATTGGGGCTGAATATGATTGACATTCAGTATGATCCATGTGCCTACTTAAATGGTCAAATAATCGCTTAGCTCTTTCATTAATTTCTTTAAAAAAACCTATTGTCAAGGTGTACAAAAAAAGTATCATCTTCTGGACCATTAAAGAACATTTTAAACTGGATGAGGACATGTAGGAAATCCAAGCTCCATCATGTGAGATGATTGGGAAAATGCCAAAGCAATGACCCACACTCTTATCCAGTCATGACAACTTCATGTAACCCACCAAAAACCATATATTGTTCAATAAAGTTTAACTCAGAAATTGACTGCTCACGTGTGCGAGCCCCATCCAGTGAGGCTGAGACAGCAAGGGTAACATATGTATAGGGTGTCCTCGTAGAACTGCGACACCCCGACACATCGTCCAGGTTTATCTGAGATCTTTTGAGCTCCCTACTCTGAAGCACGGGCTGTGGAAGCTTCTTTCAGTCTGGTCAGAAGGCCATGGCCTGCAAGTTAGGTGTTCGAACAACACGCCATAATTGTACCCAAAATATGGTCTTTGATGTAAGAGACCCCTAAAACCCAAGAGGTATGTTTTTCAAAGTGAAGTTCTAAAATCTGTCCATTAATTGTCCTACATAGACTTTGTGTGTCTGTGGACCTCCATGATGACCAAAAATTATCATGGGACAGACTAAATGGCAGTGCAGTTCTTCAGACTGGTGAAGCAGGAATTTTGATGTCCCGGACTGCTGACCTGCTCAGAGCTTTGGGTCAGATCTTTACACCTGCAACCCTTGCTGGCCATGTCTGGGGTAAAAAAAACTAAATTTACTATATCACCTATGAAAAGTTAATCTAAATTTTTGACAAATATGACAAGGCAGAGAGATAATCAACCTTTTCAAAAGCATTTATTGCCTTTCTTGGTTCATGATGCCTCAAGAAGACCAAAATCCAAGATCGGTTTAAATTGCCCATGCAAACGAACATCATCTAACCAATTAGACTACAACTAAATCTGTGGTTAAATTTTACCAAAAGAGGTAAAGTTTGCATTTAAGTCCTTCCATCATGCACTGTGCCAGAAACAGAGCTCAAAATAAATTGGGATGAAACGGGTCAGTATCACCGACCTGTGATACCAAGTGGCTTCCCAAGAAAAACTGTTCTGTATAACTAAATATAAAGACTGTGACCTGGTAGGTGTCACAGCATCATTATCCTCTCTACATAAAGAAACGGCCCACCTCCATCCTGGCTCTGGTGCTGATCATAGAATTCTAAAAACATGCAGATTGTTCCAATGGCAGACAGTCAAGGAAGGTCCCCCGTGCTCCAACAAGCTTGCCCCTCATGTAACTACTGGCCACCTGACAACACGCATTCACTGTGTATTGATTGCTCAATAAAAGTGAGCCACATCCATGTCTACATGGCAGAGTGAAGGATCCCAGAACCCTCCTGGACCACTTCTAGTGAAAATAGGCTTCTGCGTTACAGAGAGCCAATGTACAGTTTCATAGTCTACACAAATAATATCTCTTCCTCTGAAACGCAAGCGGCAATCTAGGTGCAGAGCTTCCCAATTGTGCAAAATTTCTGAAATGGTACAATAAAGTCATCTAGAATTTTATAAATATACATATATACATATACATATATATATATATATACATAAATAAGAAAATACATTAAATATATAATATATCTATACATCCATCTCCATTTTCATCTGATGTCACCCTGCCTTGAAAACAATCCTAAAGATAGAAAGGTAACGGTATACATTTTGTCAGGAGATCCTATGGAAGTACCTGAAAAATGTTCCAAGCTACAGATATGAATGGAATGAATATTAGCAACATTGTTTCTTTGGCAACATTCCTTTGATATATAGCTGTACACGGCTGTAGACCGACATCTTGCCCATCAGCATAACTTCGCATTGTGCAAAACGCCATACTTATACAGCCTGTAGAACCCAAATGAATCAAAATAATAAATAGCAGCTAAAAGGTTGATTATTTGACCGCCTGATGTAATACCACCAAACTTATCAAAAAAGGTGGCCTTGCCCTTTAATCAGCTCACAATGTAGTGATAATGCTCACAACACCACTATAGTCGCTCCAACACTGCGCACGACCAAAGCTAACCCATTATTATCACAAAGAAGGAAAAAAATTTTTACACGTGTTTGATTGAAAAAGATTTAAAAAGGTATTTTTTAATTCTGCACTTACAATATTGTACTTTTTACAAGATTATTTTTAGAGAATTATTGCTTATCTTATTGCAATGTTTATGTAAGATTTTAGAGTTTAATTGAGATTATATTGAGATTATAACATGCATTTTATTTGATTCTCCCTTTTGAGGAATAACATTATCTGCTTTTCTTCTTATGCTGCAATTAGCTCCCATGTACTTGCATGCCTTAGGTCTAGAGATGAACTTGCTCTAACACTTTTACGGGTAACTGGTCTGTATTGTAGATGTAGATGTCAAAAGGCACCTAGAGTTCTCCGAAATGTATAAGTAAATATTTCTATTTGTCGAGCTAAATATACCAGAGTTGTCCACTTGTCTGAAGG